CGCTCGCCACGGCCCGACGGGCAGACTGGCCGACCCATTAACACACACACCTCCGCTTGTGGCGCTGAATGCAGCACTCTCGTGGCGCCGCCTGGCCATTGCCGGCTGGCTATCATGCACTTGCGCCATCTTGCCCCAAACGACACTTAAAAGCTTGATATCGCGCAATGTCAAAGACCTCACTCGAAGCTTCGATCGATCATGACACCGCCTTTGTTACACTTCCTGAGTTATGACTCATTTGCGAAAGGTACGTTGAGTTGCGCGGAAAAATAAAATTCCGGGTGCTGATGAGGACCATGCGAGTCATTTAATTTTATTGCAGCCGAGCGAACGTTATAGTTGACGCAATCATACAATTCTGTGCCCACTGACACCAACTTGACAACAGGAGCCGAAGTCCACATGAGCCTTTCCATGCCACAGAGAGAGGAGCGCTTGCCCAACTCCGACGTTACCGCGCCGCCTCGAGGCGCCGTCAGTCCGTTGGCGTCTCGCCGTCTGCCGGGAAGCGAAGAGCGAACGCCGAGGAGAGACGAAAGCAACCCCCCCCCCCCCCCCCCCCTCCCCCATACCCCCTCTGCCCTCTACAGCTGGTTGAGAGATTGCGGAGGGCGCTGGCAAAGAGGAGCCTGCAAGAACAAGCACCTCTCCCCCTCCTCCGCCCTCCACAGGAACCGGTGCGCTTACATGGCGAAGGAGCAGGCGAGCGACACCCAAACCAACCCTGAAGGCCTGAACCCCACGCAGTAGTTGCGAAGCGAGAGGTTCCTCGCCCACTAAGACTGCTCAGACGGCCCGGGAGCTCACGTGACCAACCCAGCTAATACCAGCGCTCACCGCGACTCATCATGGCCATGGTCCTCAGGCTCACGTAATCACGCAGACTAATGCGATCACCGGACTCATATCCATTCTAAGACTCGCGTCTTGATTCAGGCTCATGCTCATGAGCCTCGAAACTCACAATCACACTCAAGAGACCTCAAAACTCACTCATGAGTACTTGACTTAGCGCTCAAGCTCACACTCACACTCAAGAGTTTTAAGAACTTACAATCACACTCACGATCAAACTCACGCTCATGAGTTCGCAGGGCTTACACTCGCACTCACACTCATTAGTTCCCAGAACTCGCGATCACACTCACGGTCAGACTCACGCTCGTCAGTTCTCAGGACTCACACTCACACTCACACTCACAATTTTTCGAGACTCGCGGCCTCACTCACGATCACCTCACATCTTACGGTGAGCGTGAGTGATCGTGAGTGATCGCACTCATGAGTGAGAATGCCGAGGTATGTACTACAGTTTCCTAAAGTTTGCTGACATATCTAGGTTGGCATCTCTACGCCAACAGGGCTAGATTTAAAGAATAGAGATTAGAATTATCTTATACGAGATAATTCTAATACAATTTAATTGATCATAACTGCACAGCGTGAGATACGCAAACTCAGCCGGTTAAATATCAGATTAAAAAGGTTGTCGCCAACTATTTATTTTTCGAGGCACTAACAAAACGCAGGCTGTACCATGCCCGTTTCATCATTGGTGGCCACAGCGATACTTGTGAGTTAAGGAAATGATTATACTTCGTTTGCTTTAGCGACTGTGATGTAAGCACTTTCAGATGCCACAAAAGTTTTGTTTGTCGGCGCTATTTTTCCTCCTCTTTTGTGAATTTGGTTAATACATCTCCGTACAAATTTACATGGATGCTGCTCCAGGGTTAACACCAGCGAAGTCATCAGACACATCAGACTTGTGAAGAAGGATACATGACAGGATGCAGTTTCTCGAAATCAATGTTTTCCTACATGCGAAGGGTTCGGAGAAATTATAATCCCTTCTTGATCGCAGCAGAAGCGAGCGCGTGCGCTTTATAGTCTGCTGCGCGCGGCTAGCGCATCGACACACCTTTGTTAAAAACATCAGCGCAAGCAAACTCAAGTTTTCGGTGTATTTTGCTTAACAACTTTTTCGTAGCTACGCCCAAGTCGTCAAACTGCGGTTAGCTTGCGCGGAATCCTGGACAGTTTCACACTTTCGATACTTTATGACGCCTGGTATATATAATGCCACGAACAGGCCTAACGAGGCGCGAACGAGTCAAGATCAATGCGCGCGGAATCGACCGCTCGTGCAGAAGTTGTTAGTAAGTTCCTCCGGGCTCGTATACGAACGAAGGGTTCCCGAAAAGACTATAAACCGACTACCCGAGATGGAACAACAGCTACAGCCAATGCACGGCGCCTCCTCGTCCCTCACTGGCGACACCCATTCATCCGCCGGCTCGATATCAAACGCGGCGGGGGTAACGGGAGGCGGGCGCGCGCGGAACTGACGTCCTAATCGCGATAAGCGTTGTGTCAACGCGAGGGCGTCCCGAAACTGCCGAACGACAGCCCAAACTGCGTTGTGGGGGGGAAAGATGGATCGGGAGGGAGGGAGGCGATCAGAGTCCCCCCTTCTATGATCCGGTCACCCCGAAGCTGACAGTGCGATGGAAGCCACGTCCTCGTTGAACCAATCGCACATCTATCTCTCACGTGATCACGCTCCAGCCTCATTCCAACGCGCAAGGAGGGGGCCAGGGGACGAAATTGGCGCGGTTGATTGGTTCGACAAGCGCGTATAGCTTCCACCGCGGTGTCAGCGCAGGGGTGAAGGAAGTATAACGCAGCTCGCCCTGTGTGTGAGTCTGTCCGCGTGTATGCATAAGGGTAGAGAAGCTTCAGCCCGCAGCGGCGAGGCTCCCCTGCTCCGCTGGCGCAGCTACGGGAAGGAGACCGCGGCGGGCCATCGGTTTCGTGGCTCCTCGAGCGCCAACAAAGCCGTGACTAACGTTCCAGATTGAGCCCGTGAAAATCAACCGGTCGGGTTCCTCCCCGGGTGCCGGCACGCCGCGTTGACGTTACCAGGGCCCTCTCGACGCGGCGAGCGAGCGATATGCGACCGAACCGGGGAGGGGAGACACGCCGAGCGGGCCCTTAATGGGACCGCGATGATATGTAAATATTGCGCGGGCCTGGCTTTTTACGGCCCGTGGGCGCGGGTGCGTGTGTGTGTGTACGTACGTGAGTGACGTCGTATGCGCTCACCGCGATAAAAGAAACAACAGCTGAAGCGCCGGATCGAAAGCGAGAGAGAGAGAGAAGGCGGAATGTGTGTAAAGTAGAGCTTAAAAGTGGGCTGAAGGGCCTTTTAAAGAGCGGAGGTCGAGAGACCGGGTCCGCGCTCGCTCGTGTGCTTCCGGAGCGGCAGACTTTGCTCGGCGGCGTTTGGGCTTGCTTACACGGGCCGATAGGGAACGCGAGCAGCGGTGTGTGACCGGAGTGCTGCGAGTCGGAAATGCTAGAGAGGGAGTTCGCAAGAGTCCGGAAGGTCGCTCGGCAATCTGTCAGCACCGAGGGAGGTAGTCGCGGGTTCTTTCTTTTTTTTGTTTTTTGTTTTTCGGGAAACGAAAAACATCTGCCGCTAATCAATGTCGGGTGAATTTCACAAATAGTCTCGTATATCAAGCTTCGAATTGAAGAAACCGCTTCCTGTGTACCTATCGCGACCAAATATATATTACACTATTGATATTTTAATCGACTTTAGGTGCAATAATGAACAGTGAAACCGAGCAACTTGCCAAAAAAGAAAAGACTGCAGGTGCTGACTCTAGAACCGTGGCCAGCCTTCAGCCAGTTAGCATGAGGAAACAAAGCGCAATGGTAGGAGATTCAATACAGACCGAGATTACAATGCTGGCTGGATCTAGGCTTCACAACGGGTGAACAAATTAGGGGACCCAATCTAAAACTTGTTGATCGAAAAGTTCTTCTAATTGTGTAAAGGAGCGTAAGTTTAGCGTGTAAAGTTCAACAATATGCAGCACGTTTAACTACATTGGTTTCAGGGTCTTGGTTGGCCGCACAGAAGCCTTGTGTTGCACTGCATTCAAGGGCAGAGCTCGTATTTACATGTATTGACCCCAAAACACACAAGAAAGTTAATCTAGTGAGTTATGCCTAATTTAATTTCCCTGGTAGAAATGAAAACGTTTAATTGTCACGAAATTAAAAAAAAAAAAAACAGCTTTGGCAGTGCACAAAGTAAACGGAAAAGATCATCCAAAACACTATGACCACCCACTTCATATCGCGTTCATTCTCCTTTGGCACGCAAAACAGTTGCAAAACATCTTGGCAAGAATTCTACTAGTCCTTGGTTAGTGTCTTGAATAAGATTGTACCAGATTTGTAAGCTCAGGTCGCCCGATTCTTGCAGATTACGAGGAGATAGTTTTGTGAGCTCCAAACTGGCGCCACATCACATCCCAGATATGCTCAATAGGACTTATATCTGACGAGTTATGTGGCCAGAGCATCAACTGGAATTCAACATCCTGCTCTTCAATCCACTGTAGCACAATTCTGGCCTAGTGACATTGAGCGTTGTACTGTTGGAAGATTCCGGTTCCGTTGGGGAAGACAAGCTACAAATGATTGTAACTGGTGAACAGGGATCTTGACATCAAACTGGTGAACAGTGATTTTGACATCATCTTTGTCAAAGTCGCTTAAATCAGCAGCCTTTCCCATTACACGCAAACGTATTCGACAAAATGATACTCTCTATCCCCGGCAGCCGCCATAGACAATTCGCATCAGAAGATGGTAGATGATGCGGATGGGACGACAGCTCAGCCAGTCTCTACATTCAGTTTTAGCCATTTTATAAGCAAACATCCGTCCCATATATTCTAATTTTTTTTGTATCTCAAAATAAAAAAAACAAAAAGAACACGGGCAAGTTTATACGAAACAAAAGCCAACTAAAAAGAAAAAAAGCAGGGTAATATCAAAGCTATTCTCTTCGACATTTTTTTAAACTTGCACTTCGCTATCGGATTACTATGTTCAAAGACACAAAAAAGGAAACAAAAAACACAAGAATAAATTCCTAATAAGACAGGAAGCAAGAGAGAGAGCGGCTATCTACGCACCTTGAGAAGCAAACCGCGCGCTTGCTGCCCGGAACATTTGAAAGGAGTCTGAAACAAACAAGAAATACAGAATTAGATACTAAGATTTGTTCAACAAAAAGTAAACATGCAGAATACATATGGTCTTATGTATCACATACACAGTGCAGATACTAGAAATTGTAAGTAGCTGTCCATGAGAAAAATCGAGCTAAATGTCCCCATCTGTGACCGACATCTAAATGAAATAGTATCTGTTTTCGTCGTTCCAACTGTCTTGGGAGATTTAAACGCGCGGTGCATCACGGTGAATTAGGTCTGATTTAGATATAATTCAGGTTGACGGGATTAGGCGTTCAGTTCTCCCAAGACTGCTGGAACAAAGAACCCACATGGCAATGTTAAACAACAAGCCATGTCTTTAACCGCGACTCTACAAATGATATATACCTGAGACACTTATGTCACCGAAATGATGCTGGCTACGTCCTTTATTGCTAATAGCATTAACTCCCGACAACATTAGCATTTACATGCTGGATACACTATTTACTGCAAATGTCATTAACTCCTGACAACATTAACACACACATGCTGGCTACATCCTTTACTGCTAATAGCGTGAACTTAAGGCAACATTATATTTCGCGTGATCATGTTTCGGTTACAAACGAAAATTATAATGCAGTTCGCTTTCATGACGGAAAGATAGAAAGAAACCTTACGCACCATAGAATAACTTTGGTGGGCATATATAATTTAATATTAACTACTGGTGTATCTCATCTGTTCAAAGCATGTTTCGCACAGAAGTAAAACAAGGGCACTTAAGGTGTGTGCACTACACAAGACGTTTTTTTAGTATCTCCCCGACTTGTACCACGGGCATGCGGCATGAATATCTCGTAATTAAATAAAGTTAGAACAAATTTGCAATGACACTGTTACTGTTCCTACGAAGTAAACTTAGAGTTATTTAAATATTATTTAAAAAAAATTACCAGCTATGGTAAATTAATTGTTGTCTAATATGAAATGTGCTTTAGTTCCTTTCCAGTGTGCACTGTCCCAGACAACAGTGATAAACGTACACCTTTTTAACCAACTTTATTGTTTCAACGGCGCACACGTAAGCAAAGCCTATTGTGCTAAGCAACACAAGTTCAACACCTGAACATATGAGCTTCATGAATTCGCTAAGTTCATCTACAGGATGACAAAAAAAAAATTACTTCTAATTATAGTTGACGCGCAAAAAACAAAAAGGGTAAAGACTTGTTTTCGTGCAACAAAAATGTTGGTTTCGGCATGGTTAGAAAACAAATAATCTAAATAAAAACTAAACAGTTTCTGAGCACGGGTAAATGTAATCGTGCAGCAAAGACACTAAAAGCAGGGGATCCAAACCATACTATTGAATAAGCCGTATGAATACGCATAAAAAAGTCATAGCGAAACTGGTGACAGACGTACCAGGTGTTGAAGTCCTTTGTGGGGACTGGGGATCAGATTTGCTCGAAGCCGTGAGGGACTGAGCGCCGAAGCCTGCAAAGCGCCGTAACAAAAAAATGAGTAAAGCAAGGAAGATCAAATAAATAAAACAGCGCCCATTAACTGCCAGCCTCGTCGAACACGCAAGGCTTCTTCGCGGTTTCGATTGCCGGGTGACACAGCACTAAGACCAGGCGGCTATGAAAACATAAAAGAGGCCAGATGAACGTCTCTTGTTCACGCAACGTAACACCAGCCTGATCCACGCTAAAGAAACAAGGAAAACAAATCCCACCACAATTTTGTTTGAAGTTTCCGACATTCACTAACACCTATGCACGAGTGCATTTGTAGGCCGTAGAAACAACGCGCGTTGATGTTGAGCTCATGGCACCATGCCGCGAATATTCCATTCACTACGCTCATTTCACATCGTCAAACGAAATCTTTAGTCACGAAAGATAGCCCCCAGTTAGGTATATCAACTTAGCGTGCTTTTTGAAGCTTGCAACCGGGCCATCATTTAAATGAGGTAATAAATTCTCTGGAGTTCTATTTTGTTTTATTGTTTTTTTTTTGTACGAGGGAAGGTAAGTGTTCATAGAACATAAAAAATACTAAATGGTCCGTTTTTATTCTTCACCAAATATTTGACACAAAAAAGATAAAAGAAGCGGATAATTTTTTTTACAGCAAGCTCTGTTTTTTTTATCACGAATGCAAGTAACAACGTAAGTATACATATTGTGAGTCACGTACGTATGCAACACCACACAGAGGCTACGCTGCACAGATATCACCATCACCACCGCCATCATCATCCTCGTTCCCTTTTACAGGTGCAATGCTGGTGATGCTTGTGCCGTATTGCACAAATGCAGGCACGTTTTTGCAAAACGTCGCTACGTGTGATACGAATTTTAACCGCACATGAATACGTTCCATGCTTGCTTTGACGCTTCAACAAGAGCTGCGCCTATGAAACATTATATCAACCATGCCCCTCTGCTCGTTTGTTTTTCATGTAAGAAAGAGTAAAGCCCTGATTGAAGGACGCAAAAGCGTAAGTGAACTGAGATGCAGTAATGCGTGATTCGTGTGGCCGAGCCAGGTGTATCCGTCCTCTCCGTCATCGAGCGTAGAGTCACTAATCATTTCGATAGCCGCTGTAGGTTTCGTTGGGTTGACAAACTGAGCAGGGATTCTGCATTCCACGACAATTCTGCACATGGGAAGCTGAGATGCGACTCATGCGAAGCGACATGCACTCGACCAACCGGCACGCAAATAGGTCGTGTGTAACAGGGAATCTTGCTGACACCGACGGTTCTAATAAACAGCAAAATGTTCTGAGGTCATCTGCGCTCGTCCATTTCACTGACAGCGTCAGGAGTAGCGGTAACTGCGTATGTCACCTCCTTTTTTTTTTATATATACCCCAACGCATTGGTATAGGAGCCACGCAATTACTTTAACTGTACTCGGCAAAATAAATGACACACCTTTCTTTAAAGAAACGTATACACGAAACAAACGAGGCTGATAAAGCGCACTCGGCATAGACGTCGCATTGATAGGTTTCCTCTTGGCCAGATACTAACAGTGAAGTTCGCATAATGCTGTCATTACCAGATTTCCGGTCGTCTTTGAGATAATCAATGGTTTACTAAAATGCTCAGTTGTTGCAAGCGCAACTGAAACTGAAACGCTCCGGGTTCAAATAGCGTAGCAATAAAAAATAACCCTTTTCTCTCGTGAAAGCCGCGATTACGATAATGATGTTCAAAACTATAGGCCTGTCGAGTGTGATAGAATATTAAGAGCAAACAAATATCATGTAACGTAGAGTCGGCCATGTAAAGACCTATAGCAGTCACAACTATTCTTGCTTAGAGCACTTGAATGCATAAGAATAGAAAGAAAAAAAAAACTAATAAGTAAGGCGTAATGGCATTGGCGTCATATTATGCTTTCCGAGTCTATAGCAATAGAGTCTACAAAAAAAGCATGTAACTCGGCATCAATGCAGGACCACGTATCAGTGCGCAGCAGCAACCAAAATATGCCAAGAGAAGGGTCAGCGTTTGCTTGGGTAGTATCATTTGACTGCTCACAGTTGCCTCGTCTCAGTCGCGTCCCCAGGGTCAGCGGCACCCGGGGCGGCAGCTCGCCAAGACCCGAGACCCCCCCCATGCCCGCCGCGACACCCCCCTGAGCGCTGCACCCGGGGCGGTCTCCCCCCTTTGTGACGCCACTGCTTCATCTTATCATCATATAGTGAAACTTGCTGCGAGTGAACTCTAATGAAGGAATATAAGTCAAGGTTAACGACTTTCCGATGTCGGCAGTAGTGGCCACACCTTTCCAAAATAGTGAACTAACGCGTGATTTCTAGGTTAGATCATATAGTCGTATTCGAAATGCTCGCATGGTTGATTACATCGCGGCCTATCTGGTATTACTCTTATGTCAATATCTATGTGGAACCTGGGTATTTCGTTTCGCGTAATATCTTAAACTATCGCGGGCGTACTTTCCTTGGTCACCGCGTTACGTTGTTTTTAACTTTAGACGCAACACTTTTAATATCTTGCAGACCCTGTAAAAGCAAAGCATATAGCGAAACGTAGGCTTCCAGAAGGATTATTTCCACTTTAACATTTATTTAACAAATAAAACATTTTTCCGCCGATCAGCTGCGACTAACCTCCCGTTTCCGTATAGCTATTGTAAACAAAATGTATAATAATCGTGAAATTGTTTAGAAAATAAGACAAAAATGGGAAACATTAAAATATTTTACACTCAATGTTCAACAATAAAAAATAAAACAATTGATATTTAGAATGCAAAAAGGGCTTCAGATAAAAACGATTAAAATTATAAGGAGAGAAAGTCTCTATAGTATTTCGAAGAGATGCGTAGTGTATATGCCACTGCTAATTCTCGATATTTACCCGTGCAAAAGCAATGGCGGAAATATTTAACAAAAATATTCAGAACAAAATAATCAGAACGCCCTGATTATCCATGTCACCTTGTGAGGAGCCATGTGGCACCACTCGAAACGACCGGACTGGGCCAGACAAAATTTGGAGCCACCATATCCTCAAAACCCCCATTGGAATCGCACCTCATCGCACCCCTTTCATTTTAGATGCAATCGAGCGATGAATAACGGAATTAAACATTTCTTGACATTCGTATTGCTATCAAAATATATTGAGCCGTTCACCGCAAATCTGTATAGCAATTGCTTAGGCATCCGCATGAATTGTTACATGTGTGATAACAATAACAATAACACAGCAGCCGAAACATGTGTGGAAAACGAGCGGGTAGGTATCGGAGTGCAGTTACTAATCACCGAAGGCAGAGCTAGTCGTTTGTGGAAGTACTTTAGAAGGAACCACAAATGTAGCGTAGTGTTGCTCAAAGCTCTCAGAAAAGCTACGCTACAAGTTACACTCTCCGATTGCTGTTATTCAATCATTGTTTGATAGGAAGTAATTGCAGAGTCCTCTAGCCGCCAACAAAAAAAACGTAGACGTATAAATGACGAGACTTATGGCACATAATAAAACATCGCGTCAGTCAGGAGTAGAACTTTCGACGTAGGCTCTTGCATTCCGTCATTTAGAAAATGATTTGTTCTCAAGTCCGCGCCGTAACACCCCCCAAAATTATGATAAGAATTGTCTTCAACCGAGCTCGTTTTCGCATTAGAAAGCTCATTCGAAATGAGAAAACGTGAAAGTCACTCCTCGGGTTCTGCTCACCCACAAGAGGAGTGTCAGTGTGGCAAAGCACGCGCAAGAATCGTCGTAAAGAAGTGGGAAAGAGAAAAATAGGAAATGATAAATATAAGCCAGATAAAGAAAAAGAATAATTGGTTGAGAAAGAGCCGTACATAGAGATACAATCGCACAATGAGTATAACACGGCATCAACAGCGCCACATATGCCCCTAGTGATGGCAGTGCGAGGTAATTTTAAGCCCGCTTTCGCTCAACCGAAACAATCAGTTCTAATGACAGAATTCAAGAACCGAATGTGATTGAATTCTCTTGCCTCCGACATATTTATATCAGCGCAGATACAGTATTAGACAAACGAAGATCATTCGTTGGCACGCCACCGCCTCGAGTGAATGAATGCCAATGCCCTTTCAATGTCCGGCTCTAGACTGAGGGGGCAGGAGGAAGGAGGAGGTGCCACACTCACAGGATGAAACTGAAGTCTGATGGTCGTAGCCTCCATTGCCGGGTGAACTCGATGACCAGCCGGATTTGCGGAGGGCCTCGGAGTATGGGGTCTGATCTGAACGAACACCGTATCCAATGGGAGACGTGCCATCGCACCACCGAGGAGTTGTGGAAACTTGCGTGTTGTCGCTAACTATACGGCGCGCCTTCTAAACCTTTGTCGTTGACTAATTTTTAGGGAGACAAATGTAACTCTTTCCAACAAATTAACGACAAAAAAGGAGCTTTTTACTACAAGACGGATTATATAAGTATAGACCAACTCAACTTACTGAAGTCACATCACGGTACTGAGCATGCGCAAACGCTTCCCTCCTCCCACACTTGGTTTCTTCGGACACGCAATGCTCACACCTGGTGTGGGCAAAGCGGATTTGTTTGTGAACACTGTGTTGGTCTATAGTCCAACGAACGGCTACGCACGTCTAAAGTCGGAAATCTAAACCTCCAGGGAAGTGTTTGCGATCGTTATTACCTCAATGGCCGCTTTGATTCGGCATAGGCACCGACAGATCAATAAAATGACAGTTGAGTAATGCGGTAATTAACAGAATTTTGGGAACGTATTGCGTCGGTAAGGTCAATAAAATGTATATTGCTCCGTTATGTTCTCCTAAAGTTAAGTCGCACAGATAGCGCGAATGAGCGGATTGAGAAGGTTGAGGGGGGATGCACGAAACAAACTTGAGTTGGCTCTCCGCCGTTCCGTTCAATTGATAATACTAGGATATTCGAGGAAAAGTAATTGCGATTCTACACATGTGGCATGTGCAGAAACGGTTATGTATTGAACGTGTGGTAGAATTGTGAGCCATAGATTAAGGAGACAAAATGATTTAGGCACCATGCCCCAAAAAAAAAATTTCGTGCGGAGGGTTTTAGGTTATCGCTAGTAAATAAAATAAATAAACAAATAAAAATAAATAAGCGGACTTGTTCAGTTTCGTAAAAAAAACATTCCAACATCGCTTTTTGGGGAATTAAAGGAATAAAGTAAGGCACAAAATGGAGTCTAGTCGACGAAATCTATCAATCATCGCCAAGCACCTGTTTAACTGGCGTGCCCGAATCGTGCACTGACAACGGAAATTACATCCGCAACAAAAAAGTTCCCCGTCCGCAGAACAAAGCAAAATTAAATGTACATTTCACGTACTAGTGCATTTAGAATAATAAACGAATTTCGAGGTCGGGTATGCCAAAAGAAAATACGAAAATAGAGGTAGATCTATTTGATAAATTAAAGTAAAATACTCCGATAGATAATACCGACCATAATAAGCTTTTCCATTTTGAATATGAGTAGATCGCGATTCCCTAAAACCAAACTCACAGTCTCTGCAGTTTTACCGGATAACGGCAACAGGTGCCGCGGAATGGAGGCGACCGCGCCCTAATCACTTCCTTCCTTAAAAAACACGGCGTAAAAAGGCACCGGATAGGGTCCGGGAGGCGACCCGCGACACAAAGGAAACGGTTCCAATCAAAAGACAACAGGCAGACAGAAGGGAGGCTCGCCTTACCGGCCGCAGCGGCGTACAACATCGCGCAAAACAGAGCGGAGGCGACGACGAGCGTCGTCGTCGAGCGGAGGAAGTCGAACCTTAACCGTGACGGTCGGTTTCACCGCAAGACCTTCCTTCCTGGCCGTGCGGTCCAACTCAGCGGGCAGCGCGGCGAGAGGGCGATCGGCGGCGCCGCAGCGCCGAAGCCGACGAGATGGGGAGGGAGGAGGCGGCCGATGTCGCCGCCGCTTCTCGGCCGAAGGGAACGGGGAAAACGCAAACACCAAACAAAAGGGAAAAAAACGACAAAAAAGCCCTCCGAAACCGATGCTGCTGCAATCGCGGATTGTCATCTCTTGGAAAATATTTTGTCGCGCCTAGTGCTAGGAAAGATGGAGAGAAAGTGAAAGGGAAGAGCGGAGGGTAAAGTTTCCCAACCAAACCGCAGCACCCAGAAAACATATAAAAAAAAATAATTTCTCCCTTTTAGGGAAGAGTGGGTTCTTTCTTCCCCTCTTGCGGGTCTTTGTACGCGTGTTTGTGCTTCAGCCTTCCACGTTTCCCTTTCACTCTGTCCCGGAGTTATGATGATGATGTCTAAAGAGCGAACAAACGGAGGTCGGCCAATCAATACGGCAAGACACGGGCCGACGCCGGCGATGAAGGGAAAGGAAGGGCGCGCGGATTACAACACGGTTTTCGGGGCTGCCTTTCGGGAAAGTCGCGGAGGGTGAGCGCGAACGTGCCGAGGACTGCGCGGTCGTCATGGCGACAGCCAATGAGAGGCCCTCTTTCGCTCAGCTCGACGCGCGTGGGCCGGAAGTTCTGATCCACGTTCCGCCTCCTCCGGGAATGGGAGAGGAGGAGAAATCGGGAGGAGGGAATCGGGATATAGTGATGCGGACGGAGGGATGGATGCCTCGGCGCTCGAATGGCCGCCACTGCAGCGGTGGGTGGGTGTAATAGGAGGTATTACGTGCGTTAAACCCGGGTTGCGGGTCCCTGGATGGATGTATATCTGCGCACTCGTACGCGTTGAAACGTTGGTGTGCGTGGTTTCGGCGCGCTTCGTGAGGGTTTCACACGGAAAGATGCTCTTGTGCACGATTCCCGGCTGAATTTGAATTTCAGCCGGAACTCTGAATTTCAGCCAGAGCACGAAATGGAGGAATTGAATCCCCGACTCTCTTATGGATTTGTTTGCGAAGCACTCGTACGTCCCGCTTGAAGAATAGCATAAACGTTCAGTTAAGATAGTGGAACAACATTTCAAGTATTGCTGCTCTCATGGAAGGAATATTGAAGCGACTATACTCTCGATCGAATTATATGTCACAAGCAATTAAACTACTGGTTAGTATGAGCTTTCTATTTGGTGACCCGGTGTCCAATATTTTGGTGAATGTAGTCATTAATCGATGTACCTTTAATTGCACGTGAAGTTTGATTGTCCGCGGAGAAACAAGTGCAACCACACACAAAAAAAAAAATGGACGTTGTCAGAAAACAAAATTGGAGTCGACGACAGTTTCGACACTCACATATTTATGCGTGTCTATCGTATACTTGATAAAATATAAGCGAACTTCGTATGGACTAGGATGAACTGTATGTTTTCATATATTATCTGCAAGAATGTAGCTTTTCAGCCTGATCAGAGAAGTAGACATGGCACTTATCACAAAAAAAAGAATACCTATAATCACAAATTTAAAAAACAGAAACCACCACAATTTTTACAAGGACCTCTGGCTGGCGACAGTTGTAACCAACCGTTTCCACGATAGTCAGATATATGGTCATTAAACATTACATTGTCAATAAGGTGTGGAGCATTACAATATTCTAGCAGTACTTGCCCAGAACGTGCCCGTTCTTTTAATACCATCTAATGATTTTCAGTAAAAAACGCTAAGTAAGAAACGGCTTCACAACATGGTGTCTGTAATGATAATTGACATATTCTCTTCCGGATCGGAATAAAAAAAGAAAAAATGTAAGCACTGCCTCGCCATTTTGAGTGTACGTGCAGAGCGGGACACTGTTAGCGCGAACAAGCGATCGCCAGTTTTTTTTTCAGTTTTTCTCTTTGAAACCAAGGGATGTCATCCAAGTTATTATTGCTACGGAGAGAGCTCACTTAGTTCTATAATGTAAGCGATAAAATTTCGTGCTCGCTAATACTATTTAGAAGTAAAATGCGAAAATGCGCCGATGTCGTGTTCGCGCTAACAGTGTCGCGATGTGTACAAAATAGCAAGTAAACTAAAGTTCAATCTACAAAAAAAAAAAAAGCTTGTATGAGTTTAAAAATAAACTAATATGTTCAACATTTACGGAGTTCGATATGTGTCCAATCCAGGAACAAAGTTAGATTTGGTTATAGTTTCTAACTAAGATAAACTGATTTTTTTTTTTTTTGCTGTAAACTGAGAAAGGAGAAAAAACCGAAAGGCCACCAAACGTGATGAGGTCCCTGCCCCACACAATGTTCTTGATTCCGGTCAGCCAGAAATCAGCCATAAAATCAAACAAAATCAAAATAAGTGCGAATTCTGGAACGGAGTTACAAATTTGTCAGAGCGCGCAACACGGTTAAATGTTTCGCAGATTCGGGAAAAAAAGTTTCGAGCACATATTTTGTACCTGTGGTCAGATAAGTACAAAACCGCTACAAGTCACCCAGTGTTGTCATCCAATCACAATGCACTATTTAATATAGTGTACGTTCAACACAGCGGACACTAGGAAAACCACAGTGAAAAGAAAATAACAAATTCGTGATTTGAAAAAGCACTTTTACAAGATGAATATGCATAGGTTGAAAAGCCTATAGTCCCATCAATACAAGTTAGTCGTAGAAAAAATGCAAGGCCACGCATTTTAATAAATTAGATAGTTACTTTGCTAACAATAAAAAAAAAAAATTCTGGCGATTCGTGAAAAGTAACATTCCGGCAGATACTACCATACCAGCACTCTGTTCCGAAAAGCTGACGTAATTGAGGACTCCGCAAAGACGAACTGTTTGAATGATTATTTCAAATCTGTTTTAATGCAAAAATGACGGCGCCACGCTTGGCAAATCTAAGTTATGACGAAATGTTGCTAATTACTATACACTACAAGGGATTGAAAAGCTACTGTTTAATTTTGAAACCTAAAAAAGCAACCGGTCCTGACGGTATCCCTGCTGTGGTTCTTAAAGACTGCGCTTCTATACTTTCATGTTTCCTTCTCTTTCTTTCTACCATGAATTTATCCGAGTATAAACCTCCCGACGATTGGAAGATGGCGACAGTAGTTTCCATCCGCAAAAGCGGTAGCAAAAATGTCGCCAGTAATTATCGGCCCATATCGTTGACCTCTATAATATGTAAAGTTCTTGAGCACGCAGTTTCAGGTGGCGTTGCACGTCTAGATGCGCATAGCTACTTCAGCAAAGATCAATATGGTTTTTAGTTCGGTGCACCTTGCACATCATTGTCGGTTGAATTTCATCATGACATCGCGCTTGCAATTGAATCCGGAAAAGAGGTTGACTGTGTAT